AGGAGGAGGGAAAGAAGAAGGGAGGTTGAAGTGGGAAAGAGGAAGAGGGGGAGGAGGAAGGAAGGTGGAGGAAGTGGAGATAAAGGGTGGTGGAGGAAGAGGGTGGAAAAGGAGGTTGGAGGTGGAGGAGGAAGAAGGGAGGCTGAAGTGGAAAGGAGGTGGAGGAAGAGGGGTGTAAATGAAGATTGAGGAAGAGGAAGGGAGGGAGGGGGAAGAGGACGAGGGGTGGAAATGGAGGTGGAGGAGGAGGAAGGGAGGTGGAGGGGGAAAGAGGAAGGGTAGGAGGATGAGGAAGAGGAGGACGTCGGGTGGAAGTGGAGGAAGAGGAGGAGGAATTGGTTGAGGTGGAGGTGGATGAAGGGAAATGGAGGTGAAGGTCGAAGAGGAAGAGGAGGAGGAGGAAGAGGTGGTAGTGGTAGAGGAGAGAGAGGAGAGGGGAGAGAGGGAGGAGGAGAGTAAGGTTAGGAGGAGGAGGGAAGAAAATAGAAAAAGGAAGAGGAGAAGGAAACGGAGAGGAGGAGGAGAAGGAAAAGAGCGAAGAGAAGAAGAAGAAGAAAAAGGGGAGGAGGAGGTGGAAAGGAAGTCGAAGAGGAGGAATCAAGGAATGCGAAGGAGGAGAAACAGAAAAAGAGAATGAGAAGAGGGAAACGAAGAAGACGAAGAGGAGGATATAAAACCAATAACGAAATTGACAACAACACAAAGAAAGAAAAAAAAGAGAGAGAACCAATAAAAGAAAGAAAGGAAGAAGAGGCAAATACCAGCAAAGAAAAATGGCCGGTAACCGAATCCCTCAAGAAGTGAAACCGAATCCCTCAAAAGACGAAATAAGGGACTGGATCCTTTTGGAATCGAAGGAAGAGGCAGATCTGGAGAGGAATCGATTGCAGATGTTTGTTATATTTATGAATATGAATGTTATTGGGAATATTTAATTTTATACTCGTAGATAAGTTTATAGATGCATGATAATAAATGTGTGTGTGTATGTAAAAATGGTGTTGTATGTATGCATGTGTATACTCACATACATAATACATATATATATGTGTGTGTGCGTGTGTCAGTATATACATACATAGATACATACATACAAATGCATAATATCTATCTATTTATTTATCTATCTATCTTTATATGTGTGTGTAGTATATATGAATAGATAGATAGATAGATAGATAGATAGATAGATAGATATAGATGTATATATAATGCATATATATATATATATATATATATATATATATATTATATATATATATATATATATATATATATATATATATATATATATGTATATATTATATATATATATATATATATATATATATATATATATATATATATATATATATAATATATATATATATATGTATATATATATATATATATATATATATATATATATATATATATATATATATATATATATATAAATGAGTGAATGTATAGACCGAGTAGCGCGATCCGTTGGTTCTCCGGCACCGCGTCGGCGAGTGTGACGTCATATGATTACATGAAAATTAATTGGAGATGTGTGTTATAGGGACGATTAACGAGCCGAATTAACAAAGATGATAAAGAGAAGGGGAAGAGAGCAATCGTTCGTGAAAATGGAAGAAATCATGGTAAGAGAACGTAATGAAAGGGGAAGAAACGAAATTACAATAATAACGATAAAGATATATATACCAATACCTCCAAATACAAAGAAGGAAAACCTAATGAGCGAAAATCTTCAGAATCCCAACGTCTTCTCGCCCTTAAAGACACGAATCAAACCCACGAAATTAAGACCCCGAGTGACTACTTGGTAAATGGAAATTAATAATTCACTATAACTCAAGCGTCGTAGAGCATTACAATTTTAACGAAACCATACGTTATATGATTATACTGTGCTCTACCCAAGAAAATATGTTTCCTCGCTTCACATGTGAATAATAACTTAGAGTTGATTACAGTTATTACTATGTGCAGCACGTGTTTGTCGGCGTCTCTCTCTGTCTCTATCTTTCTTTCTGTCTGTCTCTCTCGCTCGCTCGCTCTCTCTCTCTCTCTTTCTGTGTCTGTCTGTTTCTCTTCTCTCTCTCTCTCTCTCTCTCTCTCTCTCTCTCTCTCTCTCTCTCTCTCTCTCTCTCTCTCTCTCTCTCTCTCTCTCTCTCTCTCTCTCTCTGTCTCTTGTCTCTCTCTCTCTCTGTCTATTTGTGTCTGTCTCTCTCGCTCGCTCTCTCTCTCTCTCTCTCTCTCTCTCTCTGTCTCTTCTCTTCTCTCTCTCTCTCTCTCTCTCTCTCTCTCTTCTCTCTCTCTCTCTCTCTCTCTCTCTCTCTCTCTCTCTCTCTCTCTCTCTCTCTTCTCTCTCTCTCTCTTTCTTCTCTCTCTCTGTCTCTCTCTGTCTGTCTGTCTGTCTCTCTCTATCTGTCTATTGTCTGTCTGTCTCTCTCTCTGTCTGTCTGTCTCTCTCTCTCTGTCTATTTGTCTGTCTGTCTCTCTCTCTCTCTATTTTCTTTCTTTCTCTCTCTTCTCTATTTCTTCTTTTCTCTCTCTCTCTCTTCTCTCTCTCTCTCTCTCTCTCTCTTCTCTCTCTCTCTCTCTCTCTCTCTCTCTCTCTCTCTCTCTCTCTCTCTCTCTCTCTCTCTCTCTCTCTCTCATCTTCCTATCAATCATCTATTTTATATATTCATCTACCAATCCATCTCCATCCATCTATCTATCACACACACACACACACACACACACACACACACACACACACACACACACACACACACACACACACACACACACACACATACACGCACACACACACACACACACACACACACACGCGCACACACACACACACACCACACACAACGCGCACACATACACACACACACATATACATATATAAATATGTATATATATACACATACATTTACACATGTACGTCGTTTATATTAATTCAGAAATATGGAACATAGATATGCTGTTACATAGAAAGTAATTAAAACTACGATTTGAGTTAATTTTTTTTTTTTTTTTTTTTTTTTTTTTTGTTCTTCACTTCACTTTAATTATTTCCTCACACCTGCTATTTCGTTCCCATGACTCATTGACTCATTCATCGACTCATCCTTTATCCTGACTCACGAATACAGTGTTATTCTCCTAGACTCATCGACTCATCGGATACTCACAGCCTTTAATCCACGGGTGGAGGGGAGGGTGGGGAGACCGGGGGAGTAAAAAGGGGGTTGGGTGGTTTAAAGATTTCGTCTTATCCTGCCCACCCCCTCCCCCCTCCCCCCATCGCAGGCTAAGCTATGGGGAGGGGAGGGGAAGGAGGGAGGGAGGAAGGGGTTGTAGAGGCGGTTCATATCTCGTCTTGACACACTTACTCACGCCCACGATCCATATAAGAGGGCGGAACTGACCCATCTCCTCACCGACTCACACCCACACGATCTACAAAACGGGGGATTTGACTCACCTACTCACCTACTCACAATCCATAAAAGAGTTTAGCTGACTCATCTCCCTCACCGACTCATCCACACGATCCACAAAAGGGTCGTCCTTACTCACCTACTCACCATAACACACCCACACGATCCCCCGACTCACCACCCCGCCTCCACCCACCACCCGCCACTAACCGCAAAAAAGGGGCATTTCGAAACCGCCAAACTCCACACGAAAAAAAAAAAAAAAAAAAAAAAAAAAAAAGCAGAACACTCCAACTCACGCGTTTCAAACTCATCCAACTCGCACAAAAGGACAGAGAAGAGAAACACCCCGCCTCCTTCTTCCTCTTCTTCTTCTTCTTCTTCCTCCTCCATCCCCCTTTTCTTCTCTTCTTCTTCTTCTCCCCCCCCCCTCCTCACCCCATTCCTCCTTCTCCTCCATCCCCCACCTCCATCTCCTCCATCCCCCTCCCTCTCCCCACCCCCCATCCTCCTCCATCCTGCTCCCCTTTCCCCTCCTCCTCATCCTCCTCTCCATCCTCCATCCCCCTCCATCCTCCTCCCCCTCCATCCTCCATCCTCCCCCTCCTCTTCCCCCTCCTCTTCCCCCTCCTAATCCCCCTCCACCCCCCTCCTCCTCCCGTCTTCCCCCTCCCCCTCCTAATCCCCCCTCCACCCTCCCCCCTCCACCTCCACCCCCATCCTGCCTCAGACTCACCGAAAAGCAGCGTAATGATATCAGCGACCTCCTCCACCCCCATCCTCCTCTTCCTCCCCCCCTCTCCACCACCCTCTCCCCCTCCTCCCCCTCCTAATCCCTCCCCCTCCCCCTTCCTCCCCTTCCTCCATTCTCCATCCTCCACCTCACCCCCTCCTCCTCCATCCTCCATCCCCCCCCTCCTCCTCCTCCTCCATCCCCCTCCCCTCCACCCCCCTCCCCCCTCCTCCATCCCCCTCCTCTTCCCCCCTCTCCTCCATCCTTCCCCCTCCTCCTCCTCCTCCATCCCCCCCCCTCTTCCATCCTCCCTCCTCCTCCACCCCTCCATCTCCCCCCATCCTCCATCCTGCCTCAGACTCACCGAAAAGCAGCGATGTAATGATATCAGCGACCTCCTCCACCCCCCCCATCCTCCTCTTCCTACCTCCTCCCCCCCTCCTCCCCTTCCTCCATCCTCCCCCTCCTCCCCTCCTCCATCCCCCTCCACCCTCCTCCTCAACCCTCCCATCTCCCCTCCCCATCCTCACCCCCCTCCTCCTCCTCCATCCTGCCTTAGACTCACCGAAAAGCAGCGTAATGATATCAGCGACCTCCTCCACCCCCCCATCCTCCTCTTCCTCCCCCTCCCCCTCCACCTCCTCCCCCTCCATCCTCCCCCTCCTCCCCTCCTCCATCCTCCCCCTCCTCCACCCCTCCCTCCTCCTCCATCCCTCCTCCACCCCTCCATCCTCCACCCTCCTCCCCCTCCTCCATCCTCCCCCTCCACCCCTCCCCTCCTCCCCCCCCCATCCTCCCCCTCCTCCTCCTCCATCCCCTCCATCCTGCCTCAGACTCACCGAAAAGCAGCGTAATGATATCAGCGACGGCGAGATTCACCAAGTAGTAGTTCGTCGACGTCCTCATGGAGAGGTTCCTCAGCACCACCAGGCAGGTCAGGACGTTCCCCACCAGACCGGCGACGGCGATGAGCACGTAGACCACCGTCAGGCTCGTGCGGTAC